CAGCTCATAAACTACAAAGATCTGTACCCCTCAGGTCCTCGGCGAGGACCCGGTGTAGAGGTCAAACCGTTCCATATAAGATACCGCTACTAATAGAAAACGGTCCTGTAGCGTGAAAAAAAAATTTAAATAATAATAATAATAATAATAATTGTAATTATTATTATAATAATAATAATAGTTATAATAATAATAATAATTATAATTATAATAATAATAATAAAATAATAATACTAATAATAATAATAGCTATAATAATATAATATAATAATAATAGTTATAATAATAATAATAATCAATAATAATAATAATAATAGTTTAGTTTGTTTAGTTTAGTTTATTGACTACATTACATACATTATTGTACATTTGAAGTCACAGATTTTTGCCTTATAAATATAGATACAAACTTAATATAATCATCGACACTGTAAAAACACTTGTCTATGAGAAAGGTCTTCACTAGTCTACTGAATTTGTAGACATTCATATTCACGTCATGTTCTGGGTAACAGTTCACAAATAAACTGTACAATGTGACATGCGGTTTGTTCAACTTGGATAAACGTACTCTAGAAAAAGGAACTATGAGGTTATTTGCTGTCCTGGTATCATGATCATGAACATCGCAATGCGTTACATATTTATGGAGGCTTTTATGAATGTGTAAAAGCGTTTCATATATAAAAATGCTTGGTAGTGGTAAAATTCGGTGTTTCCTAAAAAGTGGTTGGCATGGTGTGCCTTATTTCGAACCATCAATTATGCGTACAGCTGCCTTTTGGAGGGTGAACGCTCTGAAAGATCCAGAAGCATTCCCCCAAAGGAGGGCACCATACGACAACTGACTGTGGATCAGGCTGAAGTAAACTGTTTTTAGATTACGTTTATCCAAATATTCACTCATCCGTCGAATTGCAAAGATTTGCGCGGATAACCTGGAACAGACGAGATCAATGTGCGGTGACCAAGTAAGCGCCGTATCCAGTTTAACTCCTAGGAGTTTAACAGGATCAGACGCAGGTTGACACTTATCACAGCTGAACACGATAGAAGATGTTTTGGCGTCATTCAGCTTCAGTTTGTTCACCGAGAACCACTTCCTTGCCTGTTCCAAGCCATCAACGCTCAACTCCTGCTGACCCCTTGTTGATAACGTCATGTCGTCTGCGAACATAAAACACAAACTGTGATCTATTGACGCAGGCAGGTCATTTATGTAGATGAAGAATAAAAGGGGACCCCACACCGAGCCCTGGGGAACTCCGTTATCAACAGGGAGCAGAGTAGAGTCGTAACCATTGCAACTAACATATTGTTTCCGGTTAGTCAGGTAGGATCTGAACAGACTTAATTCAGTACCCCGTACACCGTAGTACACCAGTTTTAGAAGCAATATGCTAGTATTGACACAGTCAAAGGCCTTAGTAAGATCGCACACAGTAGTAAAGGTTTTGAGACCACTATCAAGGCCATCAACAACATATTCCACTAAATCAAGTAACTCTTTGATTGTGGAGCTTCCCTTCCGAAATCCATACTGGCATGTGGATAGTAATGAATTTCTTTCGAAATATGATAATAGCTTGTCCTTTAGCAGGATTTCAAAAACTTTCCCTATGATGGGCACAATGGCTATTGGCCGATAATTAGATGGGTCATTCGCATCACCCGATTTATGAAGAGGAAGAATCTTTGAAATCTTGAGCGAGTCTGGCCAAACCCCTTCAGAAATGCACTTATTGTAGAGAACTGAAAGTGGTTCAACAAGAGACTCAATAGCTTTTTTAAGCATTGAGCTATTCAAACTGTAGTAGTCCAAGCAATGAGAGTTACTAAGCTTGAGAATAGCTTCGGCAACATCAGACTCTACAATTGGAGCCATAAAGAAAGACATAGATGGTTTTCGGACCTTGTTCAGCAATGTAAGCGGGGCAACACTTTCATTGTCAATTGAGCATACTATCTCCTTTGAAACTGTGGCAAAAAATCTATTGAAGCTATCTGAAGATACTATATGATTGGACTTTAATCGATTACGTTCTGAATTAACTATTTGCCAAACTGTCTTGTTTTTATTATTAGTTGTCAGTATTCTTCTGGAATAGAAGCTCCTTTTTTCCAGTTTAATTGCTCGTTTATATTCATAGCGGCAGTTCCTGAAGGCCAGCCAATCTTGCTCTAACCTTGTTGATCTAAAAATTTTCTTGTATCTAAATAATTGCTTGCGCATATATTTGAGCCTCTTTGTGAACCATCTCAAACCATTATTCCTATTATCAATTTTCCGCAAAGGAAAACAGGCGTCAATTTCTAAATTTAGAGCATCGAGTATTGAATTTGCTAGATTATCAGCAGTACGCGTATTACTCTCAGGAAAAGACCAGTCAAAATCGTGAAGCTTGCTGGCGAATAACGATAGCCCCTTGCTAGTAACGTTTCTTATCTTAAAAGAGCTACTACAACGGGCTTGCTTGATTGATGGAATAAAAATGTAAACTCCACAATGATCAGAAAGGTTGGGATCAAGAACACCGGTAATACGGCTCTTAATGTCGATATTCGTTAGTATATTATCTAGGCAGGAACTGGTGGAGGAAGTGATACGCGTAGGCTGGCTAATACAATGTGAGAGACCATATGATGAAAAGGCGTTAACAAAGTCAAAAGCAATAGGCGAGCAACTGGTAAAGTCTAGATTCAAATCGCCGACTATGATTATATTTTTATACCTAGAATACAAATAATCATAAGGACTAGTTTGTCTTTGAATATGGCTATATCACCACAAGAGGATGACCTGTATGTGGTGATTACAGCCATGTTTTTAGATGGAGCTGCAATTCCACAAAACTCTGCATGAAATGGTATACAAAAGGTGCTGAGATCAATATCTTTATAATCTGAATGACTGTTAACCAAAATTGCAACGCCACCATGCGCATTTGCTGGCCTACAGTAAGAAGAAATAACAGAGTAACTATTAAAATTAATCGAGTCCAATCTATCACTGTCCAGCCAATGTTCCGATAAACAAATGATATCAAAGGAACATTCACTCAACGACAAACACAGCTCATCTACTTTGCTAGATAAGCCTTGGATGTTCAAATGCATTATTGAGAGACCACATGCAGTAGAGCAGCCCTTCTCTGAAGAATGGGAGGGCGCACTTCTCTTGAATGCCGACCCTCGGCACCATTTTCTGACCTCTTGGGATCTCCTTTCGTGTTTCTTGCAAGAAAAAACCGGTTTAACAAAACACCTGTAGGCCAGATGTTACTGTCGATAATTATGGAAGCTTCGTCGACTGGAACTTAAACCTTGAAAGATGAGTACCTCTCCGGATATCTGGCTGTCAACCTCTCGACCTTTACACTTGGAGCAACTGCTTTCAAATAATCAGAGAGAACCACTTCATCTGTTTGTGGATCAAGGCGCGTTACATGATAGAGTCTTACAGAATTCGAAGTAGCAGCCTTTAAGGGACACCCTTGCATTCCAGACATACTACCTACTAGTAAATTTTTGGGTTTGCTTTTGCTATTATCTACATAGATTTTCTTATCGTAATCATTATTCATATTTATTAAAGTGCTGCAAACACTGCTGGTCTAGGCGCTGTGTATCGCTCCGGCAACCAACGATTTCTTTATAGGCTGCTTTCCAAAGGTAAGATCGCTGCCATGTGTCGTCGCTGTAGGTGGATTAAGGATTTTCTCCGATGACTGCGATTCACGTGATGCCATTAAATTCGGCTTATTGTTTGTCATACCTGGCGCTGTAAGAGTCTGCTTAGTTTGTTTCAGCATGGCGATTTGTTCAGTTAAAGCCGAAATCGCTATTTGCTGGTTTTGTATTGTTACCTGCTGAGCTTCTATAATAGCGTCCTTATGCTTTAAAAGCTCTTCTAGATAGTAGATTCTATCTTTGCCAGCAAGCCCTTGACAATCAGGTGGAACTGGCGACTTGGGTGCAATCGGGTCATCGCTACATTTACTACAGCAAATTACCGAATCTTCGTTGATAAACTTAGCTTTAATATTTTCCAAACAGGATTTATGAGACATCTTGCTACACAGCACACACCTAGGACCAGTTTTTACTATCTTCCTACAGCGGACGCCAAATTGATTGCCATCAGCCATCTTAACTTTTTGGCGAGTAGTGTGTATAGATATCGCCGCCGGCAAACCTGCTTGGCACTTAGTAATAAAAAGTGCCAGCACTTACTCGGAAAAAGGTCTAAGTGCCGTTATATTATGAGCATCAAGTGACAAAAAGCACAATTGTACACTTCTTCACTTACGTGTCCCTGGTAACAGGACAAATTTGCTGAAGGTTCTTTAATACACGACTCACCGATCAGCACTACCACAGGCGGCTACGCCCCACGAGACAAGCAATGGTAGCAGTGGGGCCTCTGTGATAAGGATGTTAGACGTAGACAAACAACTATCAATTACGGCCTCTAGCCGCACAACTTGAATTGAATTAAACACAAGTACACCTGCAATCACAAGAATAATACCCAATAAGAAGTTCGGGAAAACACTCGCGACGCGAAAAACTTAATAAAACGATTTAAAAGCCCGAATAATAACACACACGTCGTGCAATCTCCTCCGATCGTATAATAATATTAATTATATAATAATAATCATAATAATGTAATTAAATAATAATATAATAATATAATAAAACAATCATAATAATAATAATAAGTTATAATTAATAATAAATTATAATTACAATAATAATAATAATTATTATTAATAATAATAATCATAATAATGATAAACAATCATAATAATAATAATAATAATAATTATAAGTATAATAATAATAATAGTTATAATAATAATAATAATAATTATAATTAATAAAAATATAATAACAATAATTATAATAATAATAATAATAATTATAACAATCATAATAATAATAATAATAAAATAATAATAATAATATAATAACTATAATTATAATAATAATAATAATTATAATAATAATAGCTATAATAATAATAATAATAATCATAATAATAATTGTAATTATAATAATAAAATAATAATAGTTATAATAATAAATATAATAATAATAATAATGTTGGAACGCGTACTAGCGTCACCCCGCCGCGCCGCTACTGGCGAGACGACCAGACAGGTTGCCTAACCTAGAAGCTTGTAACCGCCGTCCTGTCCCCGCGCGCCGCACCTCGGAATGCAGTCAGTCGTGATGAGTCAGTCGTGGGAAGCAGTCGAAGTACAGCAGCCAGCACACGCGCGCGGATCGCGGAACGCGGAAGCCCGATCTACACCTGTCGCTTATCTAGCCATCCATGTACATGTAATCAATAAACTGTTCTGAACCGAAGACCACTGCGAGTTGAATTGCTCTGCTTACCTATCCTCAACAGGTTACGTGCCCAGAGACAGTGCTACGGACATTGAACAATTATTGCAAGTGCTGAAGATAATATAGGAAGTGTGTGACTAGTGTTATCAAACATGAGTGTGGCAAAAGTATCCTGTATAGACTCGCTTAGCAGGGATAACTACGACACGTGGAAAATACAGATGAAGGCGTTGCTGGTAAGAAACGATCACTGGAGTTATGTATCTGGCGAGATAAAGCAGCCACGGATAGATGATGGGGACGAGGCATCCACGAGAGCTGTAGAAGCCTGGACTAAAGGTGACAGCAAGGCGATGTCGGACATAATTTTGTCAATAAGCCCCTCAGAAATCAAACAGGTAAAGAACTGTAATACATCCAAGGAACTGTGGCAAAAGTTGGAGGGTATTTACCAATCAAAAGGACCCGCTAGAAAGGCCACATTGCTCAAACAGCTTACACTGCAACGTATGGAAGAGGGACAGGACATACGATGTCATTTAAACTCATTTTTCGATGCAGTTGACAAGTTAAATGACATGGATGTAGAAATCAATGCAGATCTATTAGCGATAATGCTACTGTATAGCCTGCCAGCCAGTTTTGAAAACTTCAGGTGTGCAATTGAGTCTAGAGACGAATTACCATCCCCGGAAATTCTTCGAATAAAAATTATAGAAGAGTATACTGCGCGGAAAGGCGACGTTCGAGAAACGGAAGGCGCCATGTTCGTGAAGCGGAATTATGGGAAAAATCACGGTCACGCAGGAAATGGCGGACGGGGCAGTGGCGTCTCGGAAGGTGCACGAGGCAGCGGCGTCTCGGAAGGCAGAAGAACGTTCAGGTATAAGTGTCACAGATGCCGAAAAGTAGGCCACAAGGCCGCTGAATGTCCAGACAAAGGTAAGACTGTTGCCAATTCTTACAAAAGTGAAGCGAACTGTTCCGAACACGTGGGACTCGTTACCGCGGAATGTTATCATGTTGAACAGAATCACAAAAGACTGAAATGGTGTCTAGACAGTGGCGCAACGTCTCACTTATGTAAAGACATTAGTTGTTTTTCTGACTTTGAACGTAGACATGATCATTTGAATTTAGCAAATAGTGAATTTACGGACATTAAAGGTTCCGGAACAGCTACGTTTGTTGCTGACGTTTTTGGCGACACGAAAAACATCTCGCTCCACAAAGCTTTTCATGTTCCCGACCTAAGAGTAAACTTACTTTCTGTTGCAAAGATTACCGATAAAGGATTTGAAGTTTTATTCAAGAAAGAAAATGCTTTGATCTATGATAGTAATGGTGATATAAAAGTTGTAGCCGATCGTAGTGGCGATTTATACTACGCGAGAGAAGGCGAAGCGCAGAATAAATCAGCTTTCATTTCGACCATGAATTCTAAAAATGTCAAACTATGGCATCGTAGATTAGGACATTTGAACTTTCAGGATTTGAATTCTTCATTGAAGAAAGGAAGATTAGGTGGAATAAATATTGAAAATATGCCTAATAATGGGGAACTTAATTGCGAAATTTGCATACGCGGAAAAATGACGCGTTCACCATTCCCGAAGAAGTCCGACAGGGAATCGGAAATGCTAGAAATCGTACATACTGATGTTTGCGGTCCCATGCGAGTAGAATCTCACTCGAAGTACAAATATTTTGTCGAATTCATAGATGATTATTCTAGGTATTGCACGGTATTCTTCATGAAACATAAAAATGAAGTTGTGCGAAAGACTCAGGAATATATTACACTGGTCGAAAACCAAAAGAACAAAAAGATAAAGTGCATCCAATCTGACAACGGGACGGAGTACACATGTAAGGAAATGGAGGATCTCCTGAAAAAGCACGGAATTTCACGTCGCTTGACTTGCCCATACACTCCGGAACAGAACGGTATAGCGGAGAGGAAAAACCGCACTCTCTTGGATACAGCACGTTGTCTAATCATGCAGTCCGGCTTACCTCCGATCTTTTGGGCTGAAGCCATCAACACGGCCAACTATTTGCGGAACAGATGTCCATCCAAAAGTCTGAACGGGTTAACACCATACGAAAAGTGGACTGGAAAGACTCCCGACGTTTCGCATCTCAGAGATTTTGGTTGCAAGGTCTTCTGTCTAAACCAAGATCAGGCCAAGGGGAAGCTAGACGCAAGATGTAAGGAAGGAATTTTCATAGGGTATTCGGAACAAACGAAAGGATACAAGGTCTGGTTGCCGAAGGAGAATAAATTCGTAATCACGAGGGATGTTAAGTTCTTGGAAAACGCAGAAGTCACATGCCAAGAATGGACAGATTTTATTCTGGAAGGATCATCCAAGGAGAATGAATCTGAGATGCATACTATCGAGGTACAGCTATCCCCAGTTGTCGAGAACGAAAATCCAGAACATGAATCTCCTACAACGGAACAAGAAGAGCCCGAGGTTGATCACGATTCTGAGCCACCCAGGCGTGCCCGCGGGAGACCCAGAATTCGGCGAACTGGTTCGAGGGGAAGACCTAGAAAGATATACAGGTACAGGACACCCCCGAGAGGTTCAGCACTCTCTTCTGAAGAGGTATTACTGTCCGAGGTCCCGATGCATCAGGCAGTCAGAGGCGAGGACGCTGACGAATGGCACAAGGCGATGGCAGACGAAGTGGCATCTATCTTGAAGAATGGTACTTGGGAATTAATCGACCGACCATGTAACCAGCACATCGTTGGAAGCCGTATTGTCCTGAGAAACAAGTACAAGCCTGATGGAACTATCGAAAGGAGGAAGGCAAGACTAGTCGCTCGGGGATTTAGCCAAAAGCCCGGAACACATTTCAACGAGACTTTTGCCCCTGTAGCAAGGCTTAGCTCCATAAGACTTGTATCTGCCCTAGCAGCACATTTAAATATGGACATGCAGCAACTGGATGTTACCTGCGCATACTTAAATGGAAGTCTAGATGAGACGATTTACATGGAAACCCCCGAATATTTGGATGAATCATTGAAGATTATTTGTGATAACTCCAAATACAACGAGGCTACCAGAAATAAGGCTCGAGATACCTTGAACACACTGGGAAAAGGTGATAAAGTATGTCTACTTAGGAAGTCACTATACGGCCTGAAGCAAGCCGGTCGCAGCTGGTATCAGAAACTAAGCCAGACACTTAGTGAATGCGGTGCAAATCCAACTAAGTCCGACCCATGTGTATTCACTAGTAAAACAGGGGAAGACATTATGATAATTGTCACTTATGTAGACGATCTGATTATCGCATCACGTGACAAAAAGGCAATATCGTCCCTAAAAGCCAAATTATCTGAAAGATTTGAAATGAAAGATCTGGGATCAGTTAATCATTGCCTAGGGATGGAATTTTCACGCAAGAAAAACAAGATAAGTCTAAGCCAGAGAGCATATATCTTGGAAATACTAGATCGATTCAACATGGCGGATGCGAACACTGTAAGCACTCCACTTGATCCAGGAACGAAGTTAAGGAAACCGACGGAGAGCCCATCTAGTGAAGAGCTGAAGTTACCTTATAGGGAGCTTATAGGTGCGCTAACCTATCTATCGTTGGGAACGAGACCCGATATTAGCTTTGCCGTAAGCTACTTAGGACAGTTCAACAACTGTTACACTAAGGAACACTGGACAGCCGCAAAGCGAGTACTTAGGTATCTGAAGGGCACCATCGATCACTCGATAGTGTACCAACGAGAAGACATGAATCTGAGAGGATTCGTTGATGCTGATTGGGCAAACTGCCCTGACGATAGGCATTCGTATACCGGATTCTCATTCATCCTATCAGGCGGACCCGTATCGTGGGAATCGAAGAAGCAAGCCACAGTGGCATTGTCTACCACCGAGGCGGAATATATGGGTACCACCAAGCTGCCAAGGAAGCAATCTACTTGGGCAAGTTCATGACCGAACTTGGGTTCGAAAGACTCGCTAACGTAACCCTGTATAGCGACAATATGAGTGCTATAAAATTGGCCGAGAACCCTAGATATCATTCCAGAAGTAAGCACATCGACATACCTTACCATTTTGTGCGGGAGGCCTTGGAACAGAAGAAGTTTAAGTTGAAGCATACACCATCTTCTGAAATGGCCGCAGACGTATTGACGAAGGGGTTGTCGAGGACAAAACATCGGAAGTGCATGGAACTTTTGGGATTACAGACGACGGACCAGAACCTGTATGTGTCTGCTACGTCTCGAGGGGAAGTGTTGGAACGCGTACTAGCGTCACCCCGCCGCGCCGCTACTGGCGAGACGACCAGACAGGTTGCCTAACCTAGAAGCTTGTAACCGCCGTCCTGTCCCCGCGCGCCGCACCTCGGAATGCAGTCAGTCGTGATGAGTCAGTCGTGGGAAGCAGTCGAAGTACAGCAGCCAGCACACGCGCGCGGATCGCGGAACGCGGAAGCCCGATCTACACCTGTCGCTTATCTAGCCATCCATGTACATGTAATCAATAAACTGTTCTGAACCGAAGACCACTGCGAGTTGAATTGCTCTGCTTACCTATCCTCAACAAATAATAATTATAATAATAATAATAATTATTATTATTATTATAATTATAATAATAATTATTATTAATAA